GGGGGCAGGACCCGGCAGGCAGGGCCAGGTGTGAGACCCGGCCTTTGGGATTGTCAAGCTTAGTCAAGTCTCTTTGCAGCCTTGAGTTGGGCCGGAGAGGTCAGTGGGAGCAGCAGGGCTGTGAGGCCCGGCCACACATCGTCCTCCCCCCTCCCTGCTGCCTCCCAGATGCTTCTGGGTAGTTCCCGGCCCATATCCCCCTCAAACCTGAGATGCCCAATGGCTGCTTCTGTCTGGCTCCTCCTGGAGCTGGGGGCAGAGATGCCAGCCTGGGGGCCGATGGCAGGGAAGAGGGTTATCCCTGGTGCCCAGGGTGGGCTTGGCCTAGGGCCCTCTGCCCCAGCCTCCTGCTCCAGGGGCTCCGGTCAGCCGGCAGCCCCAGCCCTGGGTCCTGGCTCTGGCCGCTACCTCTCTTCCCTCTCATCCTTTTCAGGGAAGAGGTTGGGGGTGGAGGGACTCCCCTGCCTGGTAGCCTCAAAGCTTTTTAATTCATCCATTTCCGACAATTCCAGGCTCCACAGTGGCAGGGGATCTTGTGCTGATCGTCCTCAAAGTCAAACTGATAGTCATAGGTCAGCTGTTAAGAAAAGAGGGCAGAATCAGTACCAGCCCCCCAGAGGAACTGGGGAGGACAGAGATGATCTGATCTGAGGGCAGTGGCCTTGGAACTTGGCTCTGGGGAATAACAGAGAAGAGAGAGCTACTCTGTCACTCACTCATGATGCTTCCTCTTACCTCCTCTCCTTTGGGGATTCGCCGGCTGGAGATGATGATGATTTTATCCTCTTTGTCAAATGTCACAACTTCTGCCACACAGTTAGGGGCACAGGAATGGTTAATGTACCTAGGCAGTGGGACAGAGTCAGTAATGCCACATGATGAACTTGGGATGGTTTTGGTTCCTTGTTGGCCCACCCCCAGTGTATCACCCTCAGAGACCCCTAAATCCCTCCTTCCTAATTCCTCTCACCTGGCAGGGCCTCCGGTCAATGTAGCATCAATCACATGTTCATTGTTTATCCGGAACATGTAGATGCCTCGATTCTAGAAAGGCAAAAGTTGCAGAAGGGGCAAGAGTATCAGAGAATGGCCACGGTGTGATGGTGGGATCAAGTAGCAAGCTCAGGCAGTGGGCTTCATTTCTTCTTTTTCCTTTCTCCCACCTCTCACCTCCTCCTCCCACAGCTTTCCACCTGACCCCCACACCGCTCCTTGTTCCTTGGCTGAGTGTGGACCATGCACCACGATGGCCCCTCTGTCAGCCCATACCTGCTCCTCATAGATTTTCTCCCGCCGGTTGGCCACCTCGTTGCGAATGATGGTGCCAATGTACTCAATGACCATTGTGTGCTTTTCTAGGTCCTTGGCTGCATAAAGCCCCAGGCCCTGGATGCGGGAGCGAGCCAGATACACATTGTTCTTCCACTCAGTGCGCAGCCGCCGATACTGAGATGACTTGGAGTGCACAAACTGCTTGCTGTACGGGGTGTTAGTCTCGCCTGTGAAGGTGCTCTGATATGCCTTGGACATGCTGGTGCTGTTCAGGGTGTGGGGCCTGGGAGGTGATACAGTGCATGACAAGACAGCTCTCCCTCAGACCAAGCACACACCACCTGCCTCCTCCCTGGGATGTGCAACATGCCAGTTAGGGGCATGTGCTGCCTCGGGAATAGAGTGGAGGCATATGGGTCTTGGTTTTGATGAGGTAATTTACTAGCTATGGGGACCCTTCCAACACCCTGGGTGGCACAGAGATGGGGGGTGGGGAGTGGAGTGAAGGGAGGCACCAATTCCCCTACACTGAGCCCACTCTCCCATCTCCTTGTCTTCTACCACCCTCCTGTCAAACTGTGCTTAAGGCCGTGCTCTTCTGGGAGGAATTCCCCAAGCAGCCCAGGCCTGTAATTTAAGTTCATAATTTGCTCAAACGTCTGAGTCCTACCTCCTGCACATACTGGAAGCCCTGAAAATGGGGGCTGTGTCTACCACACTGGACTGGATTTGAATTAAAACTAGCTCTGAATTCATAGCCAAAAGGTGGCATCCTTTCTTCAGACTGTCCCCTTTTCTAACGTAACATTGGGCTCTGTGCAGATGGCTCAGTGCAGGGGAATGACTGCTGCCTGACAGGGTCCTTTTCACCACCCTAGGGCACCAGCCAAATTCTTCCCCATCCCAGAGCAGTGGTTTTCAAACATTTTTTACTCTTCTTTCTTTAGCAGAATTTTTTTTTTTTTTTTTTTTTAGCAAAATGTTATTGGAACTCCAATACATAAACTAGATGAAAATGAAATTCTTCTGGTTGAATTTGAGGAAGGGGGAGTTATACACAGGGAGGGCCAAGTTCTGCCCACTCAGTTTGTGTGTTCCAAAACTTTTTGGAACACACACAGTTTGAAAACCACTGTTATAGGGCATCAAGGATGAAGGCTTGACTGGGGTAGAGTCGGACACTCTACGACAGCCTGAGGAGTAACCGAAGGCCTTCACAAAAGCCCTGCTACCGTGAATTCTGCCTCCCTCTACCCAGTGACCAAGGTCAGGCTACTGAGGAACACAGAAGGAACAGGAAACCACAAGTCAACATGTAATGTTCTGGTCCCAGCTGTGACCTCTGTCTAGTCACTTAACCTTTCTGGGTCTCAGTTTTCTCAGCTGTGAAATGGGGGTCATACCACCTGCCCTACCTACCTCATAAGGTTGTTGTGAGGATCAAATGAGATAATGGATGTGAAAACGCTTTGAAAAAAAAAGTATAAAGTGCTATACAAATTTAAGGTTTTATTATTTTTCTATTATATTTCTAATTATTTACTTTTGAAACCAACTCAGCCTGGGGAAGGGAAGGTGACCCTAGCACTCATGGGGCATCTGAGGTTTGGGAGAATCACAGGCCCCCTGGGAGCAAAACAGGAGAAGAAGGAGATGACTGGGCCCCTTATACAGTTCATAAAATTTTACCACTGTCCACCCAGAACCTCCCCAACAGCCATTCATTCCCAGGATGCCCAAGATAAGTCTGTCCTAGACCCCAGGTCAACCCAGGACACCTGAGCAGGTTGGGGGGAGGCGGAAAGGGATACTGTAGTGATAACTGCACACCCTCTAACCAGGAGGCCTAGAGTGAACCTCCCCAATCTCTCCAAGGGGAACTGTAACCTGTAACCCCAAACCCTCAATTGGCCAGAGGGTCCCTACCAACTCGCACACCCATATCCCTTGGCCCCAGCCCCACAAGCTCACCGTTTGTAGTGTGTGAGGATTTTAGGCTCTGATCGGGCACAACCAGTGGGGTTGATCATGAGTGGTAGCTCCATTAGGGGGTGGCGTCCATAGCGGAATAAATAGTTTTGACAGCTCTCCACTCCAGGCAGCTGTGGGCACAGGTCATGCCCACCTTAGCCTGAGCACTTTTGGGGCAGGACCAAAGTTCTCAGTGCCCCCCTCACCCCGGCTCCCGGACCCTTCTTACTGATTCAGCTATGCGCAGCACAGCGTGCACCGTCAGTCCAAAGAGTTCCTCGCCTTTCAGGTACTCAGGGAAGAGCCTCAGCATGTCGGCCTCTTTTCTCATGGCAGCCACAGGCTCTATGATGCGATTCCACACAGCTAAGAGGCAAGGAAAGAGAGCAACCCTCACCATCTGGTGAAGTTCCTCAGAGGGAACTTCTGCTCAGTGAATCCGACCCTAACCTTGATCTGGAGCTACCTCCCTGTCACGAGGCTGTGTGGTTCTTCAGGATCCCCTCATGGCCTCCCAGTCCCACTCTCCTTCAACAAGCCACACTTCCCACTCCAGAGGGACATTAGAGTGCCTTGTGACACAGAAACATGAATCCAAGGTCCAGGAGACCCAGCACAGGTCACAGGACTTGCTGAGGGTCATAACAACAGGCATGCTTTGGGAAGATGAGTTCAGGTTTTAGTACTAGCCATTGGACCTTAAACCGGATACTTAAATCTAAGATTGTTTCTTGAAAACCTGGGAATAATAGTACTTACCTCAGAGGGTTGTGTGAACAAAATAACCTATATAAATCACTTAGCTTAGTTTGTGGCACATAGTACATGTTCACTAAAAGGTAACTGCTCTTATTGTTATTTTTATAATTAACACTAAAACTAAGATCAAAAGAATTTTGTCCAGAGAAAAGCAACCAAAGGGAACTTGATGGTTAGGATCAGGTTGGGTGAGCCAGATGGTAAGGTCTCAGAACTGTATTCTTTTGTTCCACTGAGGATAGGAAAAGTAGCAGAAATAAAGTTAGACAAGCAAAACATCTTCAATTACAAGGGAATTTAAGGTGAGTAAGAGAGGCTAAAACACTTTCTCTGGGGATTTTCAAGAGCCCTCCACCTACGTGCAATAGAGGGTGCAGAGGGCAGAAGATCACTCACAAGGACCCTGCAGATCCCTTTTCCACATTGTAAAGGTGATTCCAGGAGAAACTTGCCCAACTCCACATTACCATTTCCAGGGCCCAGTGCTCACCCTGGGGAGAGGCATCAGTGAAGACCAGGTCCTCCAGGCCCTGCTCCATGACTTTGATTATGAACTCCGGCCGACCGTTGTTCTCACCAATAGAGCAGCGGTAGCAGCAGCGGCGGTTGTTGGTGCGAAGGCTCCAGTAGATGCGTGTGGCTTCGTAGCCAACGGGATAAAGGGCAGTGGCACTATGAAAGTCGGCCATCTGATGAGGGAGCAGCTGTCCAATGGCATGGAACACAAGGCCCCCTACCCGGAACATGTGCAGCCGCTCTCCCCGCTGGATTATGCTAGCGATTTGCTTCACCTCATCCCGCTCAATGTAGACCCGCCGGAAGACAGCAAAAGAACTCAGCTCTTGCTCACAGGGCCCTTTGATCTTATGCACTGGACACAGCATGGTCTTGTCCTTAAAGAACATGCACTTGGCGCGGATGGCACAGGCAAAATGGTAGACGTTGGGACAACGCATGCGATTGCAGCTGCTGGTGGCACCGGTGCGCTGGCACAAGGAGCACTTGGTTAGCAGTCCTCGGTGGAGGGCCACTTCCACATTCATCAGTGCCCCACCCTGGGTCTCATAGACCTCCGTGGACCACAGGGCACAGTTGAGGTGCACCCACAGATCCAGGTCCAGGTTCAGCAAACGGGCAGGCCCATCAGTGGCCCCATCACCCTCCTCATGACAGAAGCAGCAGCGCCGCATGTCTCGAGGCACCTTGTCAGGTCGCAGGGCTGTGCCAAGTTGTTCCATAAACTCTGCCACTTCCCGCTCATCCTCCTGCTGCCCACTGCTCTTCTGGATGGTCAGGAGCAGCCGCAGACGCTTCCAGCGCACCCCTTTCCACTTCTTGAGCCGAGGGGACCGGCAATCTTCACCTTCTTCAGAGGGCCGGGCTCGGGGCTTGGGCCGGGTCGATTCAGGGGAGGAGGCCAGGGGCAGAGGCGAGGGGACAGGGAGAGGGTGCCAAGGGGGATGGGGGTGGGGAGGGTTCTTCAGGAGGTGGGGCGGAGAGCTGTCGAACGTCCAGATTGGAGACATTGTAGGTGTAGCTGTGTTGGGTGGGTGGCTCTGGGATAGGGCTCTCCTATGGGAGGGGGCATGAACCCTGTATGGTTAGTGCCAGCTCCTCACTTAACTAGCCCCCTCCCTTTTCCCACCCACATCCCACTCTCCCAAAAGCCCTCTCTGCTATCTCTGCCCTAGCCAGAGACACCCCTTTTTCTTACCCAGACCCACCTGTTTCAGGAGGCTCAAGATGTCTAGCTGGCTCTTGAGAGTATAGCCAGGCAACACGGCATCAAATTGCTTTAGCCAGTCAGGGCCAGCTTCTGGGCTCTTGCCTCCCAGACTCTTTTCTTTCCCACCTGCAGGAAGGAGGGGGTCAGAGCCTCCCACCAGAATCATTCCCCTTAGGTCCCCAGGTGTTTTCCTGCCACACTCACCAGGGCCCTCAGCGTCCCCCTTCTTAGGCTCAATGCCTGCCCGGGCAGGGCTCTCTGGGAACAGCACCTCATAGGAGTTGGGGATCTTCATGCTTAGCAGCTCTGCCACTGCCACCATCACACCATTCAGATTCTGCCAGAGCAGGGAAGGGAGGGGAGAGCCTTTTCAGCAGGTTGTGTACAGTGAGCACTGCCACCAGCTTTGTGGGGACAAGGACACTTAGAACACAGCTCCACAAGCGGCCGGTCAGTCTAGCCCCTGTGCCATCCAACTCTTCCCATGTACTTGTTTTATGGTGGCCTTTCCCAAACTGCTGTGGGCATTAGCAGCTCCACAAAAGGGGCCTGTGTCAACTAAGTTTAGGAAACTATACACGTTATATCCATAACTTGGGAGATTCACGATAATTAGCAAATTAGAGAAGCTGAGGAGTCTTGTAGTAAGGACTCCTGTTTGGTTGTTTTAACTGGGACTGCCCATTTCCTGTTAACATTAAAAAACAAAAAACAGTTTCACCAAATATAATGGGGTGCTGTCTTGTATCATATGTCGCATTATACACACTCTCTTTATTTGTTGAGTGTGTCTTTACCACAGGACTGTGAACTCCCTGAAGGCAGGGACCCCTCATGTTTCATTTACTCTAATCCTACAGCCACTAGCCTAGGCTTTCACATGGTAGATCCTCAGTACATAGCTTTAAAGGACCAAATTTATCCAGACACGTTTCAGGGACTGCCCTCTGATTAGCACCCCTTAGGCCTCTGAGGCACCCTCCAGGACACACCTTGGCTGCAGCAGCAGAGACGGTCAGCATGACTGACACCTCACTTCCTTTGCCCTTTTCCCAAGTTGTGGCAGGCAGCTTTCCAGGGGCCTCCAGGTCTAGAGCCCCATAAGGTTTGGTATCTGGGAAGACTAAATGAGAAAGAAGGATCTGTGTTAGCCTCAGCTGCCCCTCTGCCCCAGCTCTGACACCCCAGCCTGGCCTGGCCTGGCCTATGTTCAGGGCAGCCCCTACCTGGAATGCTGGCCCGAGGAATGATGGGGATTACAGGGGAGAGAGCCCGGTCTTCCTGCTCCCACTCCCCTGAGCCCAGCTGAGGGAAACGAGGTGCCTCCTCCCCCAGGATGCTCTCGGGGGATGAAGCCGGCACAATGCTGTCAGGAGAATCGCTGTCCTCATCACTCTCCATCCTGTAGGCCAAAAGTAGACATTTGTTGCTACAGCTCTGCAGACCCCCACTCCCAAATCTAGAGGTTAGTAGATATCACAGCCTTACTTAAAATCTACTATTGGTCAAAGGGAAAATGAGACAACCAGATCCCTAACCCCATTCCTCACCCCCATTTCCAGCATAATCCCTACCTGACATCCTCAGTCTGATTGTGAGGGGGTGTAGGCAAGGCGGCCAGCAGGTCTAGACTCTTCACCTCTGAAGCATCTGAGGGGTAGGTAGGGAAAAGAAAAGTCAGGCCTAGGGTGGACAGAGCTGATGGTGCTTTTTCGACCACATTTCAGGCCTAACTAGTAGAACATCTAGCTTAGCCATCATAACCACTGTCTGCCCATCTACCAGTTTGGAGCAGTCAGGTCCTGAGCTTTATGTGCATTCTTTATTTATAATATTTTAACACTCCATTAAGTATTATAATATCTATTTTATAGTGAGGAAACTCAGGCTCACACAAGTCAATCAAGTTACCGGGCTATAGTAACACGGCTAAAAGAACACAGGACCAGGATTCACAACCAGCTGTGACAATAGTTTATACCCACCAAGGCTGTCTGTTCATTATACACTTGATCTTAGCCAAAAGGCTGAGAAGCGATGTCTGTTCATTATAAACAAAAGTTTCATTAACATTCTGTCATCCATTTCCCTCACTGTCTTGGTTCTAGACCAGTGATGGCGAACCTATGACACGCGTGTCAGAGGTGACACGCAAACTCATTTTTTTTGGTTGATTTTTCTTTGTTAAATGGCATTTAAATATATAAAATTAATATCAAAAATATGTCTTTGTTTTACTATGGTTGCAAATATCAAAAAATTTCTATATGTGACACGGCACAAAAGTTACGTTAGGGTTTTTCAAAATGCTGACACGCCGAGCTCAAAAGGTTCGCCATCACTGTTCTAGACTCCCAATGCCCATCTTTGTCTCCAACCAATTAGTCCTGAAGGGGTCCTTTCTATCTCAGGTACTGGTTGTGTGTGCACACAGCGAAACACGCAACTATCTATGCGAAACTGTTTGACAGGGTACACTAACTGGCTTGGACCCCAGCCACCAAATCCTTCTAGAGGAGAGGCCCACTCTACTCTTGACTTACCCCTCAGTGTTCCTTCAGTATCCCGGGCAGAGGCGGCATCCTTGGGGTGCTCCCCCAGCTCTTCAGATGCAGTGACGCCATTCACCATCTTCTGCTGCACCGATGGGGGTGGGGTGGGGGGCAGCGACGAGGGTGGTGTCGGCGGGTTACTCAGGTTATTCTGGGGGTGGGGTGGGGTGTTGTGTGCAAGATGGCAGGGGGAGACTGACATAATCTCCTGGCCCCACACTGTATCAGCAACTTCCTTAAGTATCCCACTCCCACCTCCACCTCCCCAAGAACCTCATCATCCCCCCAAAAGGTATTGTCATTTTCTAACCTTGGTAAGCAGCTGAGAATAGTAGTCAGGGCCAGTGGGTAGTGCCCCACTTCCAAAGGTCCCCCTCAGCTGGCACTGCCCATTGATTGGGCAGCTACTGCCAAAGGGAGCAAAGAGGCTAAAATTGGCGGTGATGGTAGGCTCCGTTAGGGGCAGCAGGGACAGCTCCTAGGAGGGGCAAGATGACAAGGTTGGAAACCTGCAGCATGTACATCTCTGCCACTGTATAGCTGGGGGCCAGGGTGCCCCCTTATCCTGAGTTGGGACCAGGGGACTGGCTCCTGGGGGTCACCTGTTTTAGCTGTTTCAGCAAGGCCTCGCTGGCCCTGACCCCGTCCTCCTTCCGCAGCTTCTTTCGGGAGCTCACCAACCTGTCGCTTGCCTTCTGTACCCGCTTGGGCTTCGGTGTCAAAGGTTTCCTGGCTGCTGTATCCTAAGCCGGATAAACCCACAGTGAAGGCTGCTGTCCTCCTCAGAGCCCTCATCTCTTCTGTTTCACCAAGACCTGCTCACTCTGCCCCACGTTCCAGGCCCCACTCTACCTGGAATACTCACCTCCTTATTGCTGGGGGTACCCTGTAGTTTCTGCTCCAGCCCAGCCAACTTGCTGTCAATGTGCCCGTTGATCTCTGTTCGCAGCCCCTCGGGCCCCCGCCCAGTGCTGAGTTGCACATTCTTTGCACGTAGAAGCTTCTGCAAGAGCAGATGCCCGGCCTCTGAGCGGGGGCCTGCCAGCAGGTGGTGGTTGCTGGTACCTGGTGTCCCTATTGGCTCCCCATTGGCCTCCCTCTTCACCACCTGGGCTCCCAGGGCACATGGCTCTTCCCGAGGCTCCTGCTTGATGCTGAGATAGGATGGTTCGGGCACCGCCTGCCCATTCACCTGCTCTGGATGCCCAGGTACCAGGCTGCTCTGCTCCGGCTTCTGGGCTTCCGCTAGGTTGTCTGGAGGATTCCAAGGTCCCAACCCTTTGCCAAATAAGGTATCTGCAAGCTGGGCAGCAGCAGGTGAGATCTTCCCAGGAGGCAGCTCCAAGGGCAGCGCTTGGGGTTTTGGGGTCCCTGGCTGTGTGGGAGGGAGCTGGGCCTCCGAGGGGAGCTGGGAACTAGGGGACGGTAATTGTGAAGGTCTCTTTGGCTCTTGTGGGCTAGATGGTGGAGGTGTGGGATGAACAGGACCAAGGACTGGTCCAGTTGATAAGGCTCCTTGTGGGGCAGGGAGCCGGGGTGGGCCCTGAGGTCGAAGTCCTGCCCCTAGCTCCTGGAGAGGCCCTGTCTGAGATCCAGGGAAGCCCCCAACTTGGGGCTGGCGGCCTAGGAGGCCCTGGAGGGGAGAGGGCTGGGTCCCAGGCTCCTGATAGGATGGGGCCTGGCGTATGGCCTGACTCTGCTGTAGCTGCCGCTGCATGAGGAGTGCCTGCAGCTGCTGCTGCTGCTGAGGGCTCAAGTGCCGCAACTGTGGGTTTTTGGCCAAAACTCCTTGGAGCTGTGCTCGAAACTGACCCACCGTAGGCATGACTCCAGCCCCGGGCAGGCCCTGCCCAGACTGGGGGACAGATCCTGGTTTGGCAGGCTGTGGCCCTGCATTATTTTGCAAGGGCCGCTCTAGTCCATGGTGCTGTTGGGAGCCCAGAAGGTTCTGAGTTATGGGCCCAGGCTGCTCCCCTAAGGAAACAGAGGATTGGGTCAGCAGGTGTGGCACAGAAGAGGCCTCTGAAGATGATCCACTGTTTGATTGCCCATGGCTGCCCACACCTGCTGTGTGGAGCAAGTTAACTTGCTGCTGCTGTCCTTGGAGCCTCAGAGGTGGCTGCAGTGGCACAGGGTTGGGCTGAGGCTGGGCCTGGGGTTGGACAAGCAGGAGTTGTGAGTCCCCAGAGAGTGAGGGCTTTACTTCCCCTGGTTCAGTGGGCACTGCCTCAGGTACAGACCCTATTGCTACACCTCCCTGATGTGTGGAGGGCCCCTCAGTGGCCTCTGGAGGAAGAGTGGTCTCTACAATGCTTTGTTCCTTGCCCGTTAGGAGGAGGGTTGGGCCCAAGGTTCCGGGGCTAGAAAAGTGTTGTTGCAGAGGCTTGGCTGGCATTCCAGGACCAAGAGTCACTTGCTGCTGCTGTTGCTGAGGAGACAGTAAAGTTCGACTCTGGTTTAAGAGGCCTATCTGCTGCTGTTGCTGCTGTTGAAGCTGCTGTTGCTGTTGTAGCTGCTGCTGTTGTAGTTGCTGCTGCTGCTGTTGTAGCTGTTGTTGCTGTTGAAGCTGCTGCTGTTGCTGCTGCTGTAGCTGTTGCTGCTGTTGCAGCTGCTGTTGCTGCTGTTGCAGCTGTTGCTGTTGTAGCTGCTGCTGTTGTAGCTGTTGTTGCTGTTGGATCTGCTGCTGCTGTTGCTGCTGTAGCTGCTGCTGCTGCTGCTGTAGCTGCTGTTGCTGTTGTAGCTGTTGCTGCTGTTGTAGCTGCTGCTGCTGCTGCTGCTGTAGCTGTAAGGAGGCCATTGGCTGAGTGCTAAGCTTGGGCTGCCCACTATGTGGCATGAGACCCTGCTGAAGATGAGAAAGCCCTGCCATGGGTCCCTGCTGTTGGTGCTGCTGCTGCTGCTGCTGCTGGGCTGTGACCAGTCGGTGTCCCATAAGGCCCTGACTTTGCTGTGCCAGCTGAGGTGAACTTGGTACCCGGGACTGGGTCAGAAGCACCTGTCTGTGAGGACCCTGAGACCCCAAAGCTCCAGGGTGTGGTTGCTGCTGCTGCAACACTGCCACCTGGGCAGGGCCCAGCATGCCCTGGGGCCCCTGGGGTGGTTGAGGGGACAGCTGCTGGACTAAGAGGCCCTGATGGCTGCTGGAAGGCAGAAGCCCTTGGGGCTTGGGACCCAGAGCCTGGTTTGCCTGTATCCCAGGTCCCTGCTGCTGTTGCTGCTGGATTGCCACCTGCCCTAGGAGGTGCTGCTGCTGCTGCTGCTGCTGTTGCAGTTTCTGGGCAAGCTGCATACGTTGCTGCTGTAGCTGTAGCTGCCTTTCCTGCAAAAGTCTCGATTCAGGTCCCAAGCCTCGAAGAGCAAGATTGCCAGGAAAAAAGCCCCCTGAGGGGCCAGCCAGGGCTCCAGCCCCGCCAGAATGTTGCTGCTGTTGTTGTTGGGCCAAGGTTGTGTTGAGGAAGGGGCCACCAGGCTGTCCAGGTAGTGCCATGCCCCCTGGGGGCAGACGAAGTCCAGCAGCTTGCCCACCAGGGGGCCCCTGTGGTGGCTGTAGCGCATGGCCAGGGAGCAGCTGACCAGGGAGCTTGGTGAGTAGCCGAGGACTCTGGGAAGGGCTAAGGGCCAGCACCGCTGAGTGTTGTTGTTGTTGCTGCTGCTGCTGCTGCTGCTGCTGCTGCTGCTGCTGCTGTTGCTGCTGCTGCTGCTGCTGCTGCTGCTGCTGCTTATTCCGATATTCTGCCATGAGATTTGTGTGCTCCTTCTGTTGCTTCCGGACCTAATGGGAGGGTCGGGGATGTCAGCCTCGAGCCTGCCCACCATGCCAACCCTCTTCCCAGCTCCTGGTTTCTAAGCTGAAGCCTGCTTTTCCCACCTGATCCAGCTGTTTCTGGATCTTGCTCTGCTGCTCTGTAACCAACTTGAGCTTCTCAGCATCAGCTTCTGGGAACTCCCGGCCAGCCTTTTTGGCAGTACGCTGTTTGGCACACAGAGCCTTCCGGGATTTGCGGTGCACACCAATCTGCTCCTCTAGTACCTTCAGCTGCATCTGTAGGAGCTGTTGGGTATGGAATAGCCACTCTTCATACTGCCGCTGGTCAGCCTCATCTGGAAAAGAAAGCTGGTGTCAGGACCAATAGAATGGTGATCCCAATTCCTCTTCCTTCAAATGCCTCAAGCCATTTTCTTTTAGGCTCCTCCCCATCCCCATACTCACTGATCACTCCCTGGGCAAAAGTGGGTGGATTGGGACGAGCCTGGGAGGGGTCACCAGCATTCCTCTCCTGAAATGAGAGACACTGCTAAAGGGTCATATTTCCATACCAGCCCCTAAGAAGGGTGGCTCAACAGCATGGGACACAAATTCCTACTCCCACCTGATCACTTACCTGGCCACTCCCAGCTGCTACATGGTTCTGCAGATCACTGCCAGTCCCCCCTGAGAGCCTCTGGGCTAGCAAGGACACTTGCTGCCTAGTTCACCAAAGCACAGAGGATGTGTTAATAATGGGGTCATTTGAAAGGCAAAGAGGAGAAACAAGTAAGGAAGGAGATCAGGAAGGAGAGGAGAAAGATTGGGAAAGAAAAGGTTCAACCGCCACCCAAGACTTACCTGTTCATACCAGGCGCTACTCCAATGCTGCCCTGAGCCATCACCTTCTTGATGCCTTTCAAAGCTACCATCTTGGCCTTTGCAATGGGATCAATGATATCTTCTGCAGCAAATTTGTCCAGGTCTGGAGAGGGAAAAACCAAGGGAGCTGGGCATTTGGGTCAATGCTCCATTTTATGTCTGCTATTGCTTCCAACACTTTAACCTCTATCAAGCCAAGCAAAACAATGGCATTGCATGATGGAAAGACCAGTGGACTAAGAGCCAGGCAGCCTAGGTGACTCAGCTCTATTATTCACAGAACATGTGGCCCTGTTTGTGTTAGGAAAAGGTACTCAGTAAATATTTGTTAAACCAATATATCAATGTTACTTCACCTTTCTGAACCTCAGTTTACTCCACTATTTGGTAGAGATCATGACTCCCTATTCTGCCTTCCTTCTTCACCTCCAGGGCTTTCCGAGACTCCCCAAAAGGCGGGGGTGACATGTTTCCTCATGTGGCTACTGAGAGGACCACATATGACAAGAATATGAGCACAGTTGACCCTTGAACAACATGGATTTGAACTGCAGGCTCGGATTATATGCAGATTTTTTCATTAAATACTGTAAATGTATTTTCTCTTCCTTATTCTTTTTCTCAATAAACATTTTCTTTTCTCTAGCTTACTCTATTGTAAGAGTACAATATATAATACATAAAACATGCAAAATATGTAAAATATGTGTTAATTATGTTATCAATAAGGCCTCTAGTCAACAGCAAGCTATTAGTGGTTAAGTTTTTTGGGGAATCTAAAGTTATACACAGATTTAACTATGTGGGGGTCAGCACCCCTAAGCCCATGTTCTTCAAGGGTTAACTGTCCATTTTACGACCTAGAAAGCATTCTTCAAAAGTAGTGTTCTTGCCCAGCCAGTATAGCTGATTGACTGAGCATCGACCTATGAACCAGGAGATCACAGTTCAATTCCTGGTCAGGGCACATGCCCAGGTTGCAGGCTCAATCCCCAGTGAGGGGCGTGCAGGAGGCAGCCAATCAATGATTCTCTCTCATCATTGATGCTTCTATCTCTCTCTCCTTTCTTCTCTGAAATCAATAAAAAAATACACATTTTTAAAAAGTGGTGTTCTTAGAGCAACTAATGCAGCCCAAGAACCCATCTGGCAAAGCCCTAGATGCCAGAGCTATTGTGGGCCTAACATAGACCACCTACATCCCACTCACCTGCCTGTCCTGGATGCTGGATAGAAAAAGAAAAGCAAAAAAATCTAATCTTTCTAAAATCATACACATTGTATATTTCTCCACCACTCAGTAAATTTAACTGACTCCCCTGGTCTTTTGAGGCAGTAACACAGTTAAGAGGTTCAGAGGGCCAGGGTTCAAACTCTAGCTCTGTTAGTTGTGTGATCTTGGGCAAGTTACTTAACCTCCATTCCTCATTTTCCTTTTCTATAATCAAAGATAATAATAATACCTATTTAATGACTTTGTTGAGATGATTAAATAATGAATGTACAGCACTCAGTACACAGATTGCAAATAGTAATTACTCAATAACTGCTATTACAATTTGAGGTCTTATGGTAGTACCCTCTCACTTCCCTCTACACCAGTGATGGCGAACCTTTTGAGCTGGGTGTGTCAGCATTTTGAAAAACCCTAACTTAACTCTGGTGCCGTGCCACATATAGAAATTTTTTGATATTTACAACCATAGTAAAACAAAGACTTATATTTTTGATATTTATTTTATGTATTTAAATGCCATTTAGTAAAGAAAATCAACCAAAAAAATGAGTTCGCGTGTCACTTCTGACACGCGTGTCATAGGTTCGCCATCGCTGCTCTACACAAAGTCTACTCCAACCTAACCACTCACTCATTCTCCAAATATCCCCCATTGGCTCTCCTGCCAATATGGTTCCTGTTCCCAAGTCTTTTTATCTATCTGGAGTGTTTTCTCTTGCACTACTTCTCTCCAAGTCCTAATCCTTAGGTCTCACCACAGCTACAAAGCCTTTGCTAATCAGGCTTCATGTATTCATCCCATTCCCTCACTCAAACATCAAAATGCTTGCTATATGCCAGGCACTGTTCCTCCCTTCTTAAAAGCTACAGTGCTTCTGCCAACACTACTAGCATGGTATTTAGTCAAAGATTTATGTCCCACCTCCCTTAACTATGAATTACCTTATGTCTGTAGTCTCAGTGCCCATTTGTTGGTGACAGTGACCACCCTTGAGTAACTAAACCAGTGCTCCCAGCTGAGGTTACCTGTATCTGGGAAGAAGCTGTTCGCCAGCTGCTGCTGCATCGCCAGCTGTTGGGGTTTCATGCACATGGAGGGTGGCATGGTACCCATGGGCTTCTGTGCCAGCACTGGTTGTGGACTCTGCTGGGACACCAAGCCTGCCTGCCCTCCATGCTGCCCACTTATCATATGCCCTTGGTTGGACACCATGGCCAGGGATGGGGCCAGGCGCTGCTGAAGGGCATGAGCTGGTGGCTGGGTGGGCATCAATGGTTGGGCCAAGCCTGGCTGTCGGGAACCTCCAAGTCCCAGGGCAAGCTGTTGTTGGGGCCCAGCCAAAGTGGAAGAAGAACCCTCATGTGGCAAAGACATGGCCTGGGCAGGGCCTGGTGTGGACAGTAGAGAATGCTGCTGTTGCTGCTGGGCCGGCTGTAGCTGTGCTGACAGCTGCTGTTTCTTCTGCAGCTCTTTCTTCTCATGCTCCAGCAGGTCTTCAATAAGCAGCGGTAACTCGCTAGCGACCAGGGAGCTCTCCATTTTGTCCAACTCATCCCCAGATGCTGCATGTCCACCAGGCAAGGTCAGGGCTCCACTCTCTAATTCAAACTTCTCCAGCAGAGAGGACCCTCCTGGGCCACTCAGTGGGTTAGGAGTCAGCAGGTGAGCTGGTGGTCCTCCTGTGGCTCCAGTGTGCCCACTGCTAGAAAAGGGTCCTGTGCCCATCCGTGTGTCCCGGCTGCCCATCACACTCTGTCCTGGCTTCAGTCCCAGGCCTAGGGAAGTGGTGGCAGGTGCTGGCTCTACCTTGGGGTTGGTAATGGTGAATTGGCAAGGGGAAGGGTGGCGTCCACCCTCCTCCACCTTGGGCTTCACCTCAGGGAGCACTGGTGCCAGACGGGGCTCAGAAGCATCAGCAGCAGGGGGAGGGCGTTCCTCAGGGCCCAGGGGTCCTGGCTCCACCCCCCGCAACAGGGCCTCCCGCTCAGCCTTTTCATTGGCTGACTCCACCAGCCTCAGGTGCTCATTGAAGATGTCCTTCTTGTCTCCAGTGTCCAACTCAGGGTCAGTATAGGCCAGTAGGTCAAACTCATCTCCATTGAGCAGGTCATCCAGGTGGGGATCGTTGGTCTCCAGGTTTTCCAGGGTGCCCAGCTCATCATCTCCCTTGGCCACATCTACACCCAAGCCCAAGTGAGCAAGTTCATCATCCTCCAGGGCCTTGTGGGCATCAAAGTCATCATCCAGCTCAGGGTCCTCACAGGGTAATTTCCCAGCTTCCAAGACCAGAGGAGGGGGGCGGCCAAGCTCAGTGCTCGATGGGGGCCGGCTGACCAGGTCCAAGCCAGGGGGCAGGGTGGGACCTTTGGTATTGGGCGCTGGATGGAGGCTATTGTTCAGTTCAGGGGCCAGCGGGGCTGAGGGTTTCTGTGGGGGAAGGCCTGATGCCGTTAGACCACGAAGCCCTTCAGGAGCCAATCGGTGGGAGTCCTCACTTACAGGGTAAAATCGGGGTCTCTGAGGGGGACCCTGACCAGGAAATGGAGGCCCCCCAGGTCCTAGTCCTTTTTGTACATTGTGCCGCAACTCAATGAACTGGGCAGGACCAGCTGGACCAGGCACTGGCTCGCCAGGGCCGGGCAGGCGAGTAGGAAGTCCTGCCAAGGGGGAACCTAAGTTTTGGCGGCCAAGTTCAGGCCCAGGAGTTGATGAAAAGCGAGTAGACATGGCAAGTCTCATGGAGTTTGCTGCTGTTGCTTGCTGCTGCTGCTGCCAGAGGTGTTGCTGCTGCTGCTGTAAGGGCAGGGACCCAGGATAGGGTGCTCGCTGATAGAAGGCTTGGGAGCCTCCCACCAGTTGCCTGGAAGAATATGCAGTAGTCAGTAAGATGAAGTAGACATTAAGATGAAGAAGAACTAGAACATGGGCCTAGAGCAGTAGGGAAGGGTAGAGTTAATGTGGCAAGGGGGAAGGAATAGGGGAGAAAAATGATACTGGAGAAGAATTAGAGAGACAGGTAAATCAGAGGCAGTACACAGAGGTGGTCAAGTCTGTTCCTTTGGTTTGCCCCCAGTAACCCTGGAGCCTCACCGGCTATTCACATCCATAGAGGAAGGGGTGGCTGGTGGAGGTGGCCGGGAGAGTCGGTCATCACTTGGGAAAGCCCCTGGCCCTAGGATGGGGCCACCCAGCTTGTTTGAGGGCAGCCCAAGGTTACTCTTATCCTAGGAGAGATAAGAGGTAGATGAAGGTGGGGCCACCTTCAGTAACCTGGGTCCACCACACCTTGCCACCCTACCTACCTGGGTTCCAGAAAAGGGGGTCTGGCCTCGACTCAGCTGCTCAAAGGCAGGGTTGCTGGGCTCAGTACCCCAGTTCCCTGGAGGCCCCACTGCTCCTGCAGCTGCTGCAGCTGTTTCCTTCTCCTGCCGCAGGGTATTGCGCTGGATCTGTTGCCGAATCAGCAGCTCTCGCAGTCGCTGGCGCTGTGCAGAGAACAGAGAAGGGTAAGTCTATCGTACTCTAACACAGGGCTGGCACAGGTACAGTGCAGGTATGAGGGAGTCAGCTCCACGATGTTAACTCACCTGCCGTTGCTTCTCTAGCTCTGTCTGGCTGAGGCTGGAGATGCCTGGGTCCTGGGTACCTGGAAGTTCAGGTGCTGCCAAAGAGCCGGCCATTCCAGCTCCTGGGTCTTCTCGTTTATCGACTGGAGAGGTGATGCCAGCCCGCTGTGAGGCTCCGTGGGGTGGGTAGGGGAGGGATCCATCGGGTACAGGTGGTGGTAGGACTGACTGTGGGCGTAGCGGGGACAGCCCATAGCCCTCTCCTGTGGACCCGCTGCTGGGTCCCAGAGGGCTACCCGATGGGTGGAAGTTCCCTGTGGCTACTGAGTAGTTTGTGCTTTGAGGCTTGCCCATAGTAGGGCCAGGCCCAAAATGGCTGTTGATCCCGTGGGGTGGAGGGAGACCAGGCTGAGGGACAGGGGGCTTTAGGGAAGAGGGCTCCCCGACTGCCTGAGGGAAAGTGAAACGCATGGGAGAGGGCGTGCCCACAAATGCACCCGTCCCAGGGGATCGGGCGAAATTTGGGGGCTGCCCACTTGGGACCTTGGCATGGAGCTCACCTGCTGGCCCTGAGGGCAGGGCTGCTGGGAATCCCCCAGCCCCCAGTGGAGTATGAGCTAGAGGCCCAGACTTAAAGGCAACTTCAGGGGGCTGGGGTCGGGGTGGCTTATGCAATGGGGCAAATGGGTCACGGGACTGAGGGCGAGAGGGTGGGCGGGAATAAGGGTCAGGGGACTGGAAGCGAGGGGTCACAGGAGAGGGACAGAAAGCCTCAGCAGACAGAGGACGGGGTGTCAATGGGGACTGGGAGCTGGACTGGGACTGGGGACTAGCAGGCACTCGGGAGAAAGGGTCAGAGGGGAGTGATCGAGGGGGTAGGGCACAGCAGCTCTCAGGGGCTGGGGGCTGGGGCCGAGGAGTCAATGGGGGCTGAGCATAAGGGTCAGGGTAGGGGCCAGGGCGAAAGATATCCGAGTGGCTGGGGGGAGAAGGGGCCAAAGCCTGGGCAGGGGATGGCTCCTGGGGCCTTAGGCCCAAGCCCGGGCTCTGGGGCTCTACCTGAGATGCCCGAGGGGTCAGGGGAGCTTTAAAGACATCAGGTGCCTTTAACTCCAGGCTGCCCAGGTGGGGGCCTGAGGAGGGTGAGTCAACAAAGCCCAGATTTGGAGGCCCATAGCTAGGAGAGGCTGCCCCAAGCTCTTCCTTCTTCACCTCCAGGGCTTTCCGAGACTCCCCAAAAGGCGGGGGTGACAGCAGGGGCTCGGAAGCCTTGCCACCCCCTACTCCTGGGCTCTCAGGCACAGCCAGGTTGTCCAATGAGGGGCAGCGGGGTTTGAGGAAGGGGTCAGGTGTGGAGGGCTGGTGTCGGGGGGTGCCAGGTGGGGTAGTGTGGAATTCCCCTGGCTGGCCAGTCCCAGGACGAGATGAGGTGCCCAGCGTCGGGGGCTGCACAGGAGCCCCAGTCGGACTAGGATAGGGAGGATAGGTAGATGGTGCCGTAGGGAAGCGGGGCTCCAGAGCGTAAGCAGGGGCCAGTCCAAAGGGGTCCTGCGAAGGCACTTGGGCGGGCACCTGGGGTGGGAGCTTGAGGAAGAGCTCACCCGGCGAGTCGGGGCCAGGCACCGTGCCCGCCGGCGGCTTCAGGAACCCATCCGCAGAGGTAGACAAGCCGGCGGGGGTAGTGGGGCTGCCAATGAAAATGGTGGGGGCCGCAGCAGGGGGCGGACTGCCCAGTGCCCCTGGCTGGGGGGGAATGCGGAGATGTAGGGCCGGTCGGTCAGTCTTACGGGCCATGTCGCCCACCTTGGTCTGCTTGTTGATCTGGCTCTCAGCCTGCTACGGAGGAGACCAGGCACAGAGCAGTCAGGCTGCTGTGGACAGGCCCTACATCCCCCTACCATCACAGAGGCCACCTGCTACAAGACATCAATGGTGCAGCCTGGTGGGGCCCCCACTCACCTTTTGCACCTTGTTGATGCGGTGAGCCGCCCGGTTATCTTTGGCCTTTTGCTAAAGGATGGAGGACACAGCCTTAGGCCTAGGGCTCAGCCTCATGCCCAGCCCCCATCCTCACATCACTCACATTCCCTACCCAAAAGCTGATCCCTTCTAGCCCAGATGCTTTAGGAGTGGGGAATGGAAAGAACTGAAATTTCCCCCAAATACCTCCCCCCGCTCAGTTCCCAGTCCTGCTGACTCAGGCTTCCTTCTGTCTCACCAGATAGGGGGCTTTGTCAGCAGCTGGAACTTTTCTCCAGAGCTTCATGATTTGTTTGCAACGGCTAGACCAGTCTGGAGGACAGAGGGATTGCATTAGGAAACTTGGCAGGTGACCCCTGCAACTGCCATGTTACCAGGTTGTTGTCTCCCTTGCCCTCGCCCCACAGGTACCTGGGTAATCTTGCTTGAGATTGGGAAAGTTAATGTTGGCATACAGCACAGGCGAGATAGTGGAGAGTTGGCCCAACTCCTCATCCTTCTCCCAGCGCTGAAGACTCCGCTGGTTATAGGAGAGCCCGTCGCCCTCACCTTCCGTGGTGGGGGTGGTGGGGGTGGAGGGCGTGGTGCCCCCTGAGCCTGTCCAGGGACTGTCTGGTTCACCTGGTTCTGGGCTAAAGAAGCCCCCGCGCTCCCTGGGGCGCAGGGGCAGAAAGTCACAGGGGGCAGGGTTGCCACACCCCAACCCAGACAAACTGCCCAGAGGCCCCAGGCCAAAACCCTGCCCCAACAGAGGAGGGCCACTAAGAAGGAGGTGGAGAGGAAAAGGGGGAAGTATTACTACAGCATCCAGGAGTCCAAGGTTCCCTCCCTTGGCATGAACCCAACTGGAGGGAAGGGACTATGGGGACGGCCCATGAAGATTAAGCATAGATACCAACCTAGAATCCAAGAATGGGGACTGGCAGAGGCCTGGATAGGAGTCCATTGGGCTGCTGGAGGGGAGATTGCCCAAAGGGAGTCCACCTACAAGAGGCACAGGATCAGAGAAAGGGAGCAAGTGGCCCATCCTGGGGGCAAGCTTGGTCGTACCTGCCCACTAGTCTTCAAACCACCCATATCACCTTGAAGAAAGGGCCTCTGCAGCGGTGTACGGCTGCCATCTAGGCCAGGGGTTCCACAACCCAGATGCTGCTCTCGTTCAGAACCCAGAACATCCTTGAAGAGCTGCTGCAGGTCCTTGGATTCTATCTTGGGCAGTTCTATAAGGGATTGAGGGAGGATGCTGCTGAGGGAGACTGGGGAGCTGAGGGGACACCACACATCTACAAATAGTCATGGCCGGGGCAGGTGCCCAGGACTCCCCACTGTATAGATGAGAGTCTCACAAGCAGAATCTTCTCCCACAGAGGACCCTTTATTCATGAACAGAGTGGGTCACAGCCTCACCTTCTGTAGGAATCCTGTCTAAGTCAGAGCTAAGCATCCCTTCTCCCGGGGTTCCTGGCTTCTCGGGGTCACTGGGCACTGGGGATGCCTTTACACCCCCATCCTCAGGTCCTGCAATGAGCAGGAGAAACCCATCAGCCAAGGCCAGTATGGAGGTACCACACTGACCACAGAAGGCATGGAAAAGTTTGACAGAGGCAAAACCAAGCTAGGATGAAGTCCTCCCAGCAGGCCTCACCTGGTGTATCAGCCTTGCCCTCAGCACCACGGGATTCTTCATCGGCAACCTCTGTACCATCATCTCCTATAAGCAATAGTCGCCATTCCAATCAGAGATGTCCCACATCTGACATCCAGAATGGGTCTCCAGTTCCACAGGCCAGGGCCCTTGGCCTACCCTCAATTCCTGGAGACCAGCCCATCCCCCACCAAGCTCTCTTCCCAGCTCCTAAGCACAGAGGAAAGTTGGGTCCCTTCAGACCTCTTTACCACCACATGACTGACCTTTCTGTAAGGTGGGGAGCTCCTTCCTATCTGAGCCTCCATCCCCCTTGGCTTTTGGGGTTCCTAGTGCAAAGCTTGGCCGGCCCACCCCAACTGCAAAAAGGGCCTTCCGGCTCAGGTCCAACAGCTCCTTCCCAAAGAAGGCCTCCTGTGGGAAGAGGTAGGGAGAAATAGGCTTCTTCATGTTCTGCAGGGAGAATTCCCTGCACCCTTCAGAGCCTAAGGCCCACCTGCAGGTAAGCAGGAAACATGTCCTCTAGTTTGCTCTTCTTGCGCCCTCGCCGCTGCTGCTTCTTCTTCTCTTCTGCATCTGCTGGGCTCTGTTCCACAGGGCCCTCAGCAGGCAGGTCAGCAGGCATCACTGGGGACAGAATGGGAAGTGTCAACTTCTCTAGGGACACTGAGCCTGCTGCTCCCAAGTTGGCCCGAGGATGCTTTCTGCCTACTCTCTCCCCCAAAACCAACTGGACCCACCACCCTCTCAGCCCTTTGAGTGAGCCCTCCTCCGGGCCTCCCTGGCAGTGCCCTATAGGTCCTGTGATCCCCACCTTCTCCCAGGCCCCACTGGAGCCCTCACCCGTCTCACCCTCGTCGGGCTGCCCATCCCCACTCAACACCTCCGCCTGTGCAGCAGGCCCCTTTTTCACACGTGTGTGGGATTTCCGCTGTCGCACCATGAAACCACCAATGCCTATGAGGAGGCAGAGCTGAAGTTGAGAAGCCACTAGGGACCGGGTGAGCCACCCCTCCCCACCCCATTCCCCATCCCAGGGCCTCACCAGGCCGATAGGGTTTGCGTTTGCGTTTTTTACTCTCCTCAGTCTCCTCCTTGCCAGGCTCTACGTCAGGGCTGATGGGGCCCTCCAGTTTAATTTCACACTCCATGTGCTCCACACCACCTGCGTTATTTAAACAGAGGAGATGGAGGCAGAGCAGAGGCGTGGGCCCTTTAACTCTGTCATCCTGCCACCCAAGAACAGAGAGCTGAGTGCCTTGCCAGAGCCATTGGATAAGACCAACAGGCCTGAGGATGACCAGAAATGACAACGCTGCTCCCTCCCAACATCCAACTCTCACAGGCATGCTCCCGCTACTTTGGCAGATTCCCCAGCCTTACCTTCACCCTTGAGCAGCTCTTCAGTGTCTAGGTCCCCATCCTTCTTGTCATCAGGGCCAAGGGCATCTGAGGGCTCAGAACCTTCCAGCCCAGCCTCGCCTGGGAGGCCAAGCCGTCCTCGCCGCTGGCGCCGCTTGTGTAGGGGTGACATGGTAAGGTTACGCAGCACAGCCATGCCAGTTTCTGTCAGCCACACACCCTCAAAGCGAAAGTACTGGGGCTCTGCACAAAAGGGAAGAGCATGTGACCCCAGGGAAACCAGAACTCCAAGTTTCAGCCTAAGTCCCCCCAAAAAAAGCAGTGAGAGAGAGACAGACCAGCCCCTGGGGGCTGAAGGGTGGAGAGGACTGGTCACCACTGGGTGCTAGCTAAGGTTCTAATTCTCCATCAGTGACCTAGGAGGACTCAGGCTGCTACTGCAGAAGCCCTGACTTTGCTCATGTTTAACCCTAGGTTCACCAAATATATTCTCTAGCTGTCTGGGGCTGGAAGTGCTCCTACTCGCTGAATGCCAGCACACAGGGGCCCAGATGCCAGGAGCAACACCTACATCATGATGGAGATGGCCCCAGCCGCTTCAGTGAGGAAACAGCAATGTCCTGTGCTCTCTGGAGGTGACACTCTGGTAGTACAGAGGCCATGTTTCCTGGTGGAAGGAACTCTGCCTGGGAAACTAGAGGCCTTGGTTGTAGTCATAACTTTGTCAATAACCTAGTGGGTTGACCTTGGGCAGGCTACTCAGTCTCTCTGGGTCTTAGTTTCCCCCTCTTAAAATGAGATAAAGTTAGAGGGGTGAAGCTGGACTAGACAGTGTCTAAGTTCTCCTTGGCTTCGGCACTCAGAATTTCACCTGGCTCTTTCACCTTCATAGGTACCAACTCTGGAGGCGCAACAGGTGCTGTGGAGAGAAGGACAAACCAAGGCAGTTTGAGACCCTGTCCCAAAGCAAGGCACCCCAGTCCTGACTCCTCCTCTCCTTCCCTAGCATCTGGTACTCACCAGCAGGCTTAATTACATAAGGCTGGCAGGAGACACAGTCAAAGCCCTCATCGGCTGCCTGCTCCACATCATCCTCTGTGAAGAGGCTCTCGCAGCCAGCATGCATCCACCTGGAAGAAAGAAGACATGAGGAGATGAACCCAGACAATGCAAAGCTGAGGATAGGGAAGAGGGAGCCAAACCAGGGGAAAGGAGCACCCTCACCGTTCACAATGGCGGCACTGGATCAGAAGGTCCTCTTCCACATATGGGGCATGACAGATAGGGCAGGTCACCAGGCTGGCACAGGGCCCACAGTGTGTGTAACTGTTCTGCCATTCACAGTGGAAGCCAGGGGAGGCGGCTCCACACTGCATACAAGACACACACCTAGTGGGAGCAGAAAGACCCTCAGCACCTAAGATACCCAAGGCAGCCAGCGGTGCCCCTCACTGAAAACCATGTGTCCCAGCCTGGTCTTCTAAACCCAACCTGTCATGTGTTCACCATCACATCTACTCTGACATATCAGGCCCAGGCCCCTCTGAAGATCCTGGGTCTCCTTACCACTTGCACTTCCAGCCGCCCTTGGGCACGGTGAGCAGTGGGGGGTCCAGGCAGTAGGTGTGGTAGCTAATGTCACAGTCATCACAGAGCAGCAGGCGTGAGGGGTCTGAGGCCTGGCCGCACACCTCACACACGATGCACTCCACACAACGCCAGCCTTTTAATAGCATCACCTTGGTGATCTGGTACAGAAGATGACATTTCTCAGGGCATGATGGAGAGGAGAGGGCAGACTTCTTAGGGGGGATGGGACTTATATGGGTTGGGCTGGAGGACCCCAATGCCCAGGCCAGACCTCCATTTGAGCAGATAAAGGCTATGCAGAGCACCCTCACCTCAAAAATATATAGTGACTCTATACTTAGGCTCCCAGAACCTCTCCTGGCCACTGCCTCATTATGCATGGACTGGCAACCTTTTCCTAGCCAAGTCCCCAACAAGATTATGGATAGGATTACATTGTATTTCCTCCAATTTCTCTTGAACATTTAAAAACCTGCTACTAATGCAAGTTAAGGAATGTTAGCAGTGGACAAGTTCTAAATGAATATCAAACTAAGTGAACAACAAGCTAATCATGCTTGAGTCAAAAACACTGCTTTCTCTTTGTGGACATTTGCCTATGATTTTCATTTTACATTTTATCTCCAGACTATATCATGCTTTCTACTAGTAAAGTTCTCATAGTTTCTATAATGGACTGAATCATACCAGCAATTCATGGTCTACCACCAAAAAACTATAAAGACCACTACCAATTCCAAAGTATTTCCCCCCAAGATGAGTCTGATAATCACTGGTGACTGAAGAATGACTTTCACTATCCAAGGCCACTTTAAGTAGTGTGGGGGCCTGGGATAAGAAATAAGTGACCCCATTCCCCTAACCAGGCCTCTTGGGCTCTGAACTTACCTTGCTGTTGACACAGTATGGGTGATAGCACTGCGAACACTGGGAACAGGCAAGGAGGTGGCCCTCTGCCCCCCGGCCAAAGCTGCCACATACTACACACATGTCCTGGGGAAATACACAGAAATACAATGTCCAACTAGGTAGGTCTCCTTTTCCCACTCAGTCCTGGCAACTAACTACAACTCTAATCTGAGGGAAGGAGTCAGGGAACCAAAAGCCCAACCCCTGGCCTCAGGACACGGTGAGCCATCATGGGGCCCTGTTCCTTCTTAGCTTGCTGTGTTGCCTAGCTGGTGTGGCTCGGCAGTCGAGTGTCAACCCAGGAACCAAGTAGTCACTGGTTCAATTCCCAGTCAGGGCATATACCTAGGTTGTGGGTTGGATCCCTGGAGGCAACCAATTGATCAATGTTTCTCTCTCACATCTCTCTCTCTAAAAATCAATAAACTTATTTTTTTAAAAAATAGCCTGATATGGTAAAAGTAAGAAACAAAAGAAGATGGGTAAAGATTGGTGAGGCTGAGAGAGTAACATATGTGCCAGTATTCTATCAGCTTTGTGGGATTATTCAGGTGAGAACATACATAAGCTCCCTTCAACAGGGCAGAAATCATTTCTGCCTTTTCACTGCTATATCCCTAGCTCCTAGTTCAGTGCCAACCTCAGAGGTGACACTCAAGAGAAATCTGATGGATAGACAAAAAAATGAACAATGTGATTCCAATTCACTATTTTCTGATTAGCTGGTAGAGAAGTAGGTCTTTGGTTTTCTGCATCTGGTCTCCCACCTAAACACATACACCCAATGTGAGTCTGCCAGTCACATATGATACCTGCATTAGGACAAACTTGTCTGTATTGGAGAAGAGAACCACAGTATTTTGCATGGTGTCGTCATCATCATCTTCTTCCTCCTTGCTGGGAGAGCTATCGATATCAGCAACCTTATAGGCAGAGAGTTGTGGAATGTGAGGCAGCTAAATCTGCGCGAACTAAGCTGCTTTCCTCTTTGGTACTGGGGGAAGGAGGTATGAACCCCTGGCTAAATGAAGGCCAGAAGTGAGGCTAAGAAGCAGAAGAACACCCCAGCTCCCAAACTGGGCCTCAGCCCAACAGCAGAGATTTCAGAGAAGCCTGGGGGCCAAGTGGACAGAAGGAGTAGACAGAGCAGGCAGGCAGGTGAGCGTGCGGGGGACGGACAGGAGTAAAGGATGTTTAATCTGGAAAGAGCCAGCTGACGCATGTTTGGGGGATGGGAAGCCTCTCCTTACTACCAGAGTCTCAATGGAAGAAGTGGTTGATTTTAGCCGGGCCCGTCCTCTCCCACGTCCTCCATGTGCTCCTCCACGTGGCCGGCGTCTTCCTGGGAAACTACTGCTGCGACCCTGAGTGAAGGAAGTGGATAATAACAGGGAGAAGTTGAGGACTAGTGTGTTGGGTCCACAGGTTTAGAAGGAAGAGAAGAAACTAATGAACAGAGCATAACAGGTAATAAAGGCCAGGAGTCCCAGCAGGGCAAGGGAAAAGCTGACTCTCAGACAGCAACAAGCAGGCAGCTCTTCTCCCAAGCAAAAGTGGCCAAGTGGTACAATGATAAAAATACTGGTGTTGAAGGCCCGAGTTTCTAGTTGATTCTATTACTGAGTAACCATGAAGCTGGGAAAGTCAATTCCCACTCTATGTATTCATATTCTCCTTAATAAAGTAAGAGTGGACTAAAGGAGCCCTGACAGTCTAGAATTCAGTAAGCCAGGTGGGAAGGTATCAGTGACACCGGATTGTACCTCTGACGTTATCAGCATGAAGCTGACCACATCCAGTGACTGGAGAGCCCCTTACCTGTTTTATGCGGGAACGAGCTGGGGAGCTGCGCCGCTTCCCCTTGTCCCCTTCAGCTTTGCCTCCACCGACAGCTGCCCCAGTGTCACACAATAGCGAGTCATCAGTCTCTGGCAGAGAGTCAGTACAGAGCCGAAGGGAGCCTTCATCTCGAGCTGGACTAACATCTGTAGATACCCCCAACTCCATAGACAAGGAGCCGCCCCCCTCGGGGTCAGGAGAGCCCAGCAGGGGCTCTGAGCCAGGAAAACTGGCACTGGCATCGCCCTGGCTCAGATTGGAGATCTCATTAACGATGTCGGATTTGATGAGAACAGGTGGGATAGGGGCCACTGGTGCACGTGGCTCCTCTTGCTCTTCACAGGGTGAGCCCTGCCCTGTCTGCTTGCACTCTGGGCCATAGACCTCCATAGGGGTCACAGGGGCCAGCTCCTCGGGGTCCAGGAGCACAGGGGAACCCTTAAGTTCACTAGCCAAACTGCCAGGGGTCTGTCCAGCCTCTGGCTGGGAATCAGGAGTGTCAGTCCCATCCAGAGGGGCTGTGTCTTCCCCCAGGCCAGAGAAGTCTTCCAGGGCTGGGGCAGGACTGGGTGCAGGGCAGGAAAGGTTCCCCATGGGGGAGGGGAGAGGACTAGTAGGGCTAGGCTCCAAGGCTGGGCACTCAGGGTCTGGGGCTTTCTCAACCTCCATCTCAGGCGGCTCGGCCTCATGTGACACCTCCATTGACTTCTCTACAGGACTCAGTGGGGAGGGAATGGACAGTGGCAGAGCAGGAGGAGAGCACTGTGAAGGAGGGGAGTTCTGGGGAGGTAGGGAATGCTGGAGGAGTGGAGAACACCGAGGGGGAAGGGGCTCCATCAGGATGGGAGAGGCCAGTCCCATTGGGGAGCCTGGAGATGGGGGAAGGATCATAGGGGGTACAGGCTCGGGGTCAGTGCAGTTAGCTTCCGGTGGAGGGCTAATGGGTGTCTCTAGGATGGGGGCAGCTAATGGTGACTCAGGGTCACTGTCCCCTTTGGCACCAAAGGGGTACTCTAACTCCCCCAAAGGAGAGAGGGCTGGTGGGGCTACAGCTGTGATAATGGGTGAGAGCGGAGGAGGAAGTGGATCTGGAAGGAAAGAGAAAAAGGGAGGCTCTTAGATTAGATGTGCCATAAAGAATCAAGACTGTCCCAGAGAAAGAGGGTACTAACATCCCCTTACCTGGTGGCATCAGCTGAGGTGACAAGGATGGCTCCCTAGTTGGAGACAACGGTAGCTCCTCAGGCAGAGGGGACAGAGGTGGTTCCCCAGGCTCAGACAGAGCCGGCTCTCCAAGCACGGGGGATAAGGGTGGCTCCCCAGGTGGGAGGAACAAGGGCAATTCCTCAGGTGCAGAGCATAGGCTTGGCTCCCCAAGGGGCTCTTCAGGTCGAGGGGACAGGCATGGTTCCTTAGGGTGGGAAGACAGGTGTAGCTCCTCAGGCTGGGGGGACGGGTGTGGCGCCTCAGGCCGGGAGGACAGGCGCAGCTCCTCAGGCACAGGAGATAGCTGTCGCTCCTCAGGCATGGGGGATGGGTGTGGTTCCTCAGGCTGGGGGGACAGGCGTGCTTCCTCTGGCTGCGGGGACAGATGTGGTTCTTCCGGCTGGGGGGACAGGTGCAGCTCCTCAGGCTGGCGGGGCAGAAGCAGTTCCTTGGCTGCAGCGGACAGGCATGGCTCCTCAGGCCGAGGGGACAGGTGCGGCACCTCAGGGCGAGGGGACGGGCGCAGCTCCTCAGGCCGAGGGGACAGGCGCGGCTCCTCACGCCGGGGGGACAGACACGGCTCCTCACGCCGGGGGGACAGACGCAGCTCCTCAGGCTTGGGGGACAGACACGGCTCCTTAGGCCCGGGGGACAGGTGCGGTTCCTCAGGCCGGGGGGACAGGCGCGGCTCCTCAGGCTTGGGGGACAGGCGTGGCTCCTCAGGCTTGGGGGACAGACGCGGCTCCTCAGGCCGGGGGGACAGGCGTCGCTCCTCAGTTGTGGGGGATAGGTGCGATTCCTCAAGTGGGGGGCAGAATTGCAGCTCCTCAGGCAATGGCGACAGGGGCGACTCCTCCAGTGGTAGGGACACGAGCAAGTCCTCTGGTGGCGGGGACGCAGGGGAGTCTTCAGGTGGTGGGGATGTGGGTGAATCCTCAGGTGGTGGGGATACACGTGAAGCCTCGGGTGGAGGGGATGTGGGAGACTCCTCAGGCGGTGGGGACAGGGGAGACTCCTCAGGCGGGGGGGACAGGCGCGACACCTCAGGCAGGAGGGATAGGCGTGATACCTCAGGTGGGGGGGACATGGGTGAGTCTTCAGGTGGTGGGGACATGGGTGAATCCTCAGGTGGTGGGGAAAGGCGTGAAGCCTCAGGTGGTGGGGAGAGGGGAGACTCCTCTGGTGGGGGGGACAGGGGTGATTCTTCAAATGGTGGGAACATACGCGATGCCTCAGGCGGTGGAGACATGGGTGACTCCTCAGGTGGTGGAGACAGGCGAGATGCCTCAGGTGGTGGGGAAGTGGGTAATTCCTCGGGTGGTGGGGACAGGGGAGACTCCTCAAATGGTGGGTTCAGGGGTGATGCTTCAGGTGGTGGGGACAGGGGTGTCTCAAGTGGAGGAGATGGGGGTGACTCCTCTGGTGGAGAAAAGGGTGACTCTTCCAGTGGAGAAAAAGGTGATGATTCGGGTGGGGGAGACAGAGGAGACTCCTCAGGCGGTGGAGAGAGGGGTGATTCCTCAGGCGGTGGGGACAGACGAGATGCCTCAGGCGGCGGGGATGTGGGTGATTCCTCAGGTGGTGGGGACAGGGGCGACTCCTCAGGTGGGGGCAGCAGTGGCATCTCCTCATTTAGGGGGGCCTCCAACTGTGGCTCAAGTTGGGCCCCTGCTCTCCCTGTAGATATAACATACTGTGCTCCTATCTAGCTCAACTCCACTCCACAGAAAGTAGAGTCTAAGGCAGAGCAGAAACTGTCCCTTACCACAGAACAGAAGGGGACTTTCATGGACCCTCAAACCCTACTCACCTAGTGGTTTGGCTTCACATTGCAGAGGCCCCGGTTCCTTCGGTTGCATAGAGGTCACGTGCCCACCCTTTGGCTGCCCTTGGCATGCAACGTACAGAGCATCAGGCTCACCAGTGGGGGTATCGCCAGGCTCTGGGGGTGAGAATCTGCAGAGGGTACAGGGGAGTAGGCATTGTGGCTCTCATCAGCTATCAACTCCTAGAGAGTGTACTGGGGTAAGGCATGAATGCCATGGGTTGTACTGCCCATCTTAGGGCTCCCTCTGCCAATCTCAGCATTTCCGATCCCGCAGCCCAATCTCTTTCAGTCCACACTACTTACCTGCTACAGACAGCAGAACGCTGCTCAGCAACAGAACTGATAGGCTGTCCTCCCTGGGTTTTGTGACAGCGATAACAGAGTGAGTAGTTCTCGAACCACTCAGAGTTGGGATTCAGCTCTGCTGAGCCTGCCCCACAGGACCGGCATACCCGGCACGCCTAGAGAAAGGAGAAAGCAAAACAGGCATCAGTGAGACAGCAGAGACTAGAGGGGAGCATGGGCCTTGTCACAACAGAGAAACTCTGAATGTTATTGGAGGCAGAATTAGAAGAGTAAGGCAGGATCAAGGACCCTCACCTTGCACTTCCAAGAGTGAGCAGGCAGTTCTTCCATAGGTGGTTTTAGGCAGAAGGTATGGTATCCTTTGTCACACGTCTCACAGACCAACATCTTAGAGTCATTCCCAGGTTTCCTGCAGAGACAGGGCACATAACAGGGTCCCTCCCTGCCCTTGTTTTTAACCCTAAACTGTGCTTTGCCTAAGGCTTTCCTCCTGCCTTCCCATTCTTACCTGCAGGCTTGGCACACTTTGCATTCAGGGCACTGCCAGCCAGCACGCTTGCGGGCAGTCAGAGCAGTGTCCAGGCAGGCCCCATGATAGTGATGCCCACAACTGGTACAGAAGAACAGGTCACACAATTCCCCTGGTCCCTCACATACTGCACAACGAGCCTCCTCTGCAGTCAAAAGGGACAGAGAACACAGGTCAGATATGGATTCCTTGCAGGTCTCAGAACAGTGCTGTCTACATAACAGGCATTCCATGGACCAGAATGAACAAATACACAGTTACTAAGTGTCTGCCTAATATATGCTAGGCATTGTTCTAGGCATTGCAGACATCATAGTAAATAAGACAGGCAAAGCCCCTGCACTCTCAAAGTTCACACCTATTTTAATGAGGCAGACTGACAGTATAAAATTACCATCGTTGACAGTGCTCTGCAAAGTACAAACCCCAGGCACTCTTGACCCCTCACTGCCTGATGTACAAGGAGCAGGACTTCTCACCCAGATGTGCGGCACCCTCACTGTGCTCCGGGCATAGCAGCTGCAGTGTTTTCATGGATAAGAAGGAACCGCTGGCAGTGGCACAGGGGAAGTGGTAAAGCCGTGGGCATCCAGGTGAGCGACAAGGGATGGAGGCACCGAGCCTGGTGCAGTGGGAGCAGCGCTGCCAGGGTGGAAACAAAGCCTCAGTGCCAGTCAGCTCACTCCAGAGCAATATATCAGGCACTAGCTCTGGCCCACTATGTCCACTGCCCTTCTAATTCTACCCTGACTCTCAGAAGCCCAATAACCCTGTCCACCCTGCCCTTTACCTCTGCAATCCCCTGGCCCCAGCCCCACCTGTGAGATCCCTGAGAAGATGGCCTTGTCCACACCACATAGCTCTGGGCCCCCCTTCCCCCATACACCGGCCGACCACACGGCACACCAATGGTGAGCCCAGCAGGACCCTGTATAAGTAGAAAAAGGCAAACAGAAAGGAATGAATTAACAAAAAGGTGATCGCTGGCTTTGGACCACCCAGCCCTACCTTCTTTCCTGCCCAGGTCAGTTACTTACCTCCAGGTTCTCCTAGGTGGGCAGGTGTCAGGCCCTCAGGGAAACCAATCTGGGATAGGTCCTCACTGGGCAGTGCTGCCTCATTGTGCTCTGAGTTCCCCCCAGGAGACACCACTGGACACCGGGGCCAGTCAAATGGCAACTCAAAGCGCCGTAGCTCCCGCTGCCCATGCAGACTGGGCTCCCCGCAGTTACAGAGAGCGCAACGTCGCAGTGGACCCCCACTGTGGACACACAAGCATCAGCACCATGCCAGGCCCCTGCCCACAGTCATCCCCCCAAACCCCCCGACAACCCCATGATTTAACACGCCTGTGCTTCCCAAACACTCATTTTCCTAAATATTCCTCTTGAACTACCCAGAATCTCAAATCAAATCCTTTTGCACCCTTATGTCCTCATTTCCCCAAACTATTTACCTGCAGTCCTGAGGTGGTTCCTGAGGCCTGAGACCCCCAGAAGTGGGCACAGATACCTCCACCACATGTGGGTTGGGAAGGTCTGCCTCAGTGGCACCTGACTCCTCAGAGGCTGCATGTCCATCAGCTGAATGAACAAACAGAGAAGCATACATCAGCCATCATCCACTATTTAAATACTAGTCTAGTCACCAGACCTATGAGATTATCTAAAACCGTTGGTAGATCACACTGAGGGCATTTTGACTTTTGTCCCAAAGAACAAAGTCCTTCAATTACCCATCTATTAGACAGACTTAGCTCCTGTCCTTGTGCCAGGACTAGAAATTTAAGGTTGTCTGGGATTAGCAGAAAGCTGTCAGTAAACCCAAAATTTGCCCTACTCACCTGCCGGTTCTGAATCTTTATCCTCACCAGGCGGCTTCTGGCTATCCATCCCTCTCTCCGACTGGGCAGGGCCCTCTCGGGGAGACCTGTCAAAGCCAAAAAAGATATCTGTATGCCCAGAAAGTCTCTCCACTAAACACTTTCCCCAGAATCCTAGGAGGAATGCAGCTAATGGTATCTAGACCTTACATAAATCAGAACAAAGCCATACCTACAATTCCTGCACTAATGACAAAAAAGTTCTGCCTAACCTTTATCCCACTGCCTACTTCCTCCCCAGATAAACACTGACCCTCTTCTCCAACTCTGGATTCTCAGAGGATCCCCTCCCTTTTCCCACTTCCTAACTCCTACGAGTTCCCAGGGCAATAGCATCCAACTAGAAGCACATCCAGTCTACAGCTACAGTAGCGTCCTTTGCCTCACATCTGAGTTCTGGGCTTCTGGTGGGCCCTATCCCTATCCTTTTCCCTGAGGCCTCAAGTCAGCTACCATCCTAGAGGTCTGTCAGTGCCAACCAATGGGTAAGCATAACCCAAGAAGTCTGAGTACAGCTGCAACCCCTCTCCCAGAGACAGAGTCTGGGGTCTTACAGGCTATAGAACACGTTATTGAAACTAAAGCCCAGGTATGGATAGATCTCCCCAACTTCCACGAGTTCCAACCAGGACACCCCAATCACAACATAAGAAACTCCCCAATTTCTACCCACTGCCTAACCAAATCCAGCTCAGGCCTGGCCCCTCAGCAACTGAACTCAAGATCTCACCCAGCCTGAAGTCCTCAGGTTGTTGCCCTTAGCAACGCCAACTGCCCTTCTTCCTAAGATATCCCTAGTAGTTAACAGAAGTGGGCCTTAAGAGTCACTGAGCATGTGTAGCCAGGCCTGAAGCTAGGCATGCTGGGAGTTGTAGTCTCAGGAAGCACACTGCCACTTGGAGGAGTTCTAAACAGGACAGGACACAGCCCAGCAGAGTAGCTTCCTTCCTCTTCTGTCAACCAGGGTTTCCACACGCACTATGGGGGTGTGGAGTAACGGTCCCCTCTTCTAAAATATGCCTGCCTATATCAGAGCCAAATGAAACAAACATTAAAGTTATACATAAGAAGATTGAGACCCACATCTTTGGGCATATTTTCCTAAACCTCAGAGAGAACTAAACACAGCCCAAAAAAGAAAGAAGAATAAGAAAAATTACAGAGTAAGGTAGAAAAAAGGGTTCCTACAGAAGGAAGAAAGGGATAGGTGCCAGCAGCTATTAGTGGTATCGAAGGTAAGGGCTTAAGCAGAGAAAAAAAAGTATAGTATTCCCAGGGAAGGAGGAGGTGGGGAGAATCCCTAAAACAGAACTTTAAATAAAATTTGAGCCGAAACCGGTTTGGCTCAGTGGATAGAGTGTCAGCCTGCGGACTGAAGGGTCCCGGGTTCGATTCTGGTCAGGGGCATGTACCTGGGTTGCGGGCACATCCCCAGTGGGGAGTGTGCAGGAGGCAGCTGATCGTTGTTTCTCTCTCATTGATGTTTCTAACTCTCTATCCCTCTCCCTTCCTCTCTGTAAAAAATCAATAAAATATATTTTAAAAAATTTTTTTGAGAAGTTTATCTCTCGCCTTTTCCACTCCTTTTGTTTAACCAGAGGGGTCACATACAAACCTTAGCAAGGACAAGCCCCTCTTCTCAAACCAACTACCAAATAACCTTGTCAGACACTTGGGGTTGAGTGACTGGGGCAGATGAGACAGGGGAAACCCTCAAAGGTGCCCAGGATCAATAAATCAATTACTTTAAGAACCACAATATTAGTCTTCATTCCCTGAACTCACACTCCACTTCCAGAGATTAATAAGGAGCCTCTGTGACATGTCACAGGAAAGGAAATTTTATTTTATTCCCCCCAAACTATCAGAGGCTACTAGATTAGAAAAGTGAAGTATCACTTGATGCCTGTTCCCTCCATTCCCAAACCATCTCTTTCCAAAACCTACCATACAACCACACCTGAAAGGAAAGCAAGGTGGTTATCTGGCAGGCCCAAGAAAAGCTGCTCTGGAACTTCAAGGGGCCCTTAGAAGCCACCTATGAGAAGCAGGGGCTGGATGGAGGTCAGGGCACCAGCCAGGCTCCTCTTCCTGTTCAGACATTCAAGGCTTGACCACACCCAGAAAGCTTCAAAATTTCCTAAATATGTGAATTTTACTGTATGCCCCCAAAGATCTTCCACCTGCTCTGCTCTTAAAGTTAAGTCACAAATAAAAAGCAACAGTGATAATACAGTGGGTGGGAGGAAGACTGCCTCACACAAGGCCAGAGGGACAAATTCCTCTGCCCTCCCCTGAGCACAGCCCTCTCAGCTTGAGGAGGTATGGAAACCACCTGCATCCAGCCTTGGGAGACAGAGTACCAATATCCTCCAAAGCCACAGCCTCACTCATGGAGCCACGGAAGATGAGAGATCACAAAGTGAAGAAGAGAATGTCCTCCAAGCTGCATTATATCTAGGGGTAACTCCGAGAAGCCTGAGCCCCATTTCCCTACCCCTGCAGTCTAGCACCTGCATTCCAATGCTGAGTCCCAGCTGACAGGCCCCTGAACAGATCTAAACAAATAAATACCACAGGTTCCCTGTCCCATCATTCACAGCCAGAAACCACACACACATATATACATCAAGGGTTTTTTCACTAGTTCTAAAATGAGCTAATGCCTGGCTAGGCTTCATCTGGGTAACTAGAGAGCCCCAGAAGTACAGATCTAGGGAGTAAAACTGTGCTGGCTCCCCTTAGTCCTAGGCCTAAGAAGCCCAAAACAGCAAGGAAGAAGACAGGGTGGCACACTTTCCTCTCTGCCTCTATCCCAGACCAATAGCTTTAACTCCATTTTCCCAGCCAAGGGGGAAATGGAGGCTTGGAGGGGTGAAAGGCTGAAGCAGGCTCTTGAGTGAACAACTTCTGTAGGACTCAGGACTTCCTGGTTCCCAACCTGAGAATCAAACCACACCTCTCCCCACTCTCATTTTGGGTTGACCCTCTAGGAAGAATCCAAATGGCAACACTAGTCCTGTAGACCCTCTAGACCAGCAGTTGCCAACCTTTCGGACCACCAGTGATCCGCGGACCACCGGTTGACGACTGCTGCTCAAGAGAGTCCCTGGGTAAACCTGAGGTAATCCACAGCTAACAGGGAGAGGCCCCTCCTAAGGAAGTTCACTGAGGACAGACAACAGGAGGGGTCCTCCATAGGAGGCAGGGGCAGAGAGCACGGGTGACAGCTAACCTCACTCTACCACCCCTGTGCCACCTACCACCTTGGGGTTAATATCCAGAAATCTTTCAAGGGCAAAATCCCTATTTTCTCCTTCCCAAGACCAGACTCAAAGAGATCTAGCCCATGTATGTATGTTTCAGGGGGTGGAGTGAAGGAGTAAAACACACCAGCCAAATCCCGGCTGGGCAGCATGACAGCTGCGAGAGGGGCTGTCCCAGCCCAGGGCCCAGAGGCATGAGGCTCATGCTGCACTCTTCCTACACTCACATGTATACCCCTTCTCCTCAGTACCTTCGGACAGGTTTGGAAACACTAGCTTCTGCAGAAAGAAACTCTGCAGATCATTTCTCCTCCAAAGAGATACAGTAAGGATTGGGACAGGAGCAGAGGGCCAGTTAACATTCTATGATCAAAAAGGGTTGGAGAGGTTGGGATGGGCCTGCAGGATTGGCCAAGGACTTAGGAGCAACCAGCTCACCACACCAGGTCCTGAGAAAACGGCGACAAAAGCCATTTTTTGCAGCCCACATTCACGGGGAGCAAATCTCAACTGCCTCCTCCATAATCCCCTAGAGATTATGTCCATCCTGCGAGGAGGGGAGACAAACCAGGCTAAGACAGCACTAGGCCTCGCTGCGGTCACTGTGCCAGGCAGGGGGAGTTTAAAGTTGCCCAGCAAGGCCAGACTGCCCCCTGCCCCACCTCCTTCTTGCACCAGCCACCCCCTTCATCACACTAGTCAGTTTCCACACGCTGTCCCCTGTCCACAGTAAAAGAAGGCCTGGGGAAGGACCCAGGATTCCTTGAGTCTCCCAGAGGACTGCTGAGGACCCCGGTGGGCAAGAACAACCTTAAAGTCCAACCTGGCAGTAAGTCTGACCTGGCAGTGGCACCCTCCTCACCCCACCCCCAAGTTATTCTGTTCCCAAGGCCCACAAGGAACCCCGAGGGAGCAGCAGGAGTCAATGAGAATTGGTGCTGGCATCGGGGGCCTGGGTCTTACTTGAGTAGAGCTCCCCCAACACAAAAATAAACAGGCAGAGAGGCGATCTGGCCGGGTTTCCAAAACTCCCGTGGTTCCCCGAACCCCGAGTCTTTAACGAGGCACACCCCAAGACACCAGGCCTCAGTTCTGCCCCAGCCACTGGCTCAGGTTCCCTTGACAGACCCTGCCAACAGAGCCCTCCTCAGCCCTGGCACCCCTTTCTCCAACCTAAAGGCCAGCTCCGGCCAAGACAGTCCATCTGGCGGTGCCCCGAGTCCAACCCTTTCTGGGCCTTGGCCGGACGGACTTCACTCACCTCTTCACAGGGCGATCCAGGAATCCTCATCCGAGAACATGGCCAGAGCCCGGGCCGCTCCCCGACCTCCAACCGCCAGAGCGATCACAGCCGCCCCCCGCACGGGGGGGCTGAGGGTGGCCAAGAACGGTAAATCCAGGTCGGAGTGGCCACCCTCCCCTCCAAAAAAAAAGCAAAGAGCCAAAGACGGGTTCTGCGCTTCAGGTTCCAGCAGTTTAGGTTTCCATGGACAGCCCGAGGGCGGCGAATCCCGAGCGGACACAAAGAGAGCACCGGTGGCTTTGATCTCGGGAGCCCAGGCTCCGCATCCGCGTCGTCGGGCGGCCTCTTAGTCCTCGGGCCAGCGCCCCG